TATTCACTTCTGACTCATTTCCTGTTGACCTCAAGAATTGTATACAATCATTAGCCTCACTAAATAATAATAATCTTCCAATGAATTTTGAGCTCTTGAGATAGTTAACCACTAGGAAGTCTCCTTCCTGCCCTATAAAGTATTGGGAAGTGGCCTGATTTGGCCTAAATGGTCTTCAGAATAGGGAGGTTTGGTTAAGAGATGTGCAACAGGTAGGGAATGTGTTGGTATGCCAGCTGTCAACACTTTTGATATCCTTGGTGCAAGTTTTCTTAAAAAAAAAAATCGACCCTATTATTAAGAAATTTCTCTAATTTCTAAAAGTTGATTGATTGCCTTTTGAAAAAATTAAAGGTAAAATTCAAAAAATAACCTGTATTCCTCCCAAATATTTAATCCTGAAAAAGAGGAATAGATTTTCTTCTAAAATCTGGCCTACAAGTGGAACATTTGCATAATTCCATTATGTTTTATGCTGGAAGAATAATTTGATGTATGCCTGTTGAATATCTTTCTAAAAGTTAGTTCAACAGGAGGAATTAAGCAGAAGTTCAGGCACAGATATCTGGCTTTCCCTGTAATTTTCACTCAGAACTCCATTTAACTGAGTATGAACAGGTCACTTGGCTAAAATGAGAAGTTCAGTGTGAAGAGTGCTGAAAGGAACTGGCCCAGACTTTCCCAAAGACAACAGTATTGGAAACAGATCACACGTATTATTTTTATTTCCGAGTCTCCAGAAGTAGAGGAAGGTTTTGTACTTTGAGTCTTTGCCAGGACTGAAATAATCATCATGACCTATCGAGGAGTGAGATGGTTACTATGGTTTGTCTTTTTGATGGCATGTACTCTTAATCACTGGGAACTGGAAGGAAATCATGAGGGAGAAAAGACATGCTTTAAGAGTATGTCTTCTGAGATGTGAAATGGATTGGAGAGGAAGACAGTAGGGTGGGATGGAATGAGCCTTGCTATTACAGAATAGTTGCAGAGAAAGCTTATTATGCAAATATGATCACACTACTTGGAGAAACAGAAATCCACTAAGGGATTGTTAAGATGGACTTTGGAAAGAATAATAATACTACCTGCAAAGGAGAATCAAGGGATTTGTTGGATTTGTTATGATGCACGCTGGGTTTATGAGCTTTAATTTAATGATGTGAATAGGTGACTTTATAAATGGAAATTACTATAAATTGTTTGCAGCTAATTGTTGGACATGGAGAATAATTCATAGAAACCTAAATACAGGTCAGCATTTGGACTGCTTTTTGATTATGAGGCAACTGCCAGGTGTTCTGTGGAAGAAAATTGTCTTCAAGGAATTTACATCTTGATTTCCTGTACATTTGTGATATTTACAAGAGTGAAACACTCCTATTCCTTCACTGAATGATCAAGACTGTTTTGGGGGTGGGGAGGGCATGGATGATTGACCACAATGGCTGCCACAGCTCTAGTTCCAGTACTAATTCCAGTTCTCAATCCCTCAATCTTGTTCATATAGAATATCCATAGTGCTTCACAGTACAGCTGTTCTCTAAGAAGCTGAGGTCTCTGTTGATTGACCTTCTTGAAGTTAGTTTTTATTTTTCTTTGAGTAACTATAAAGTTTAATAGCTCAAAAGCCTCACAACAAACACTGAAGATATTTAAAGAACAGACTTTTTAGAAATGAAAAATATTTCATTTTCCACGCCTAATAAATCTTATTGTGAGGAGAGTTTACTTTTCTTAAAAACAAACAAACAAAAAAACCACCTGTCACTATAGACCCCTTTGGCTTACAGGGTATGTATGCATGCTTCCATAAGAACAATGTTTGTCTAAATTGAAGCTGAAAACCAGTCTACTAATTTTGAATTCATTGCTTTGTTGTCAGTTTCTACTACAGTATATTCAGTAGCTTCAATTAGGAAAGAAAATCCACATTATTCCACATGTTACCAGTAAAAAGTTGGGAACATTTGAGTTTTCCTGGAAAAAGAAAGTCAAGTAGTAGGAAGCTCTTTAGGCTAGGAGAAGTTTCCCATACCAAGGGTCACAAACCAAAAACATTGCTGTTGGCTTTTCTACACTAGCACTAGTGAAGACATTTTAAAATGCAAAGGACAGAAACTGTATCAACCATAAAAATAATTTATTTAATAAATTTTAATGAGAAATTCCTCTGTGCCAAGCACTGATGATGAGCAAACCCTCATCAACCCTCAGAGTGGATATTGTTCAATAACTTAAGTGAAAATGTCAGGAAGGAAAGGTTGAGTATAAAAAGTATCCTGAGTTGGTCCAGAGAAATAAAATTACATTTTGTGGATAGATGTTTGTGGAAGGGGTGATACCTGTCATATGCAATCAACATACATTGCAGTCAATCTCAGAATGGCCTCTATGATGGTGGGCTTGCGGTGGGGTGGGGGTGGGGTGGTTGGGAGGACTGAATTGGACTATAGGTCATTTTTAGTAGGTTTAGAATAAGATTGTGGGCATAGATCTTATGATTCCTCCTTTGAAATGCTCAGTGAATGAGTTTTATTTTAGATCTTGGCCCTGAATTGAGTAAACAGCAGAAACTTGTGAAAGCTTCTCAAATTCATGATATATTTGCCCAGGAGACTGAATGGTCATGGCTCATGTTCTCCTAGTCTCTGGAGAAAATCAGTACTGTTTTATAACTGAACTTTTCTTATAAGTGATTTTTTAAAAAAAGACAAAACAAAGAAATTAATTTTTTGTTGTTGTTGGGGGCAAAACCAACTCTGTTTAAAGAACAGGGATGTTGTAACATAAACTGACAAAAGCCAGGGAACCTACAGTTGGAACAGGAGCTAAATGTCACATTATCAGCTCCAAACTTGAACTTTCCCAAAAGTACTAAGATAATGTTGGAAAGATGATGACATTTAAGGATGTTTTAAATGTAATATTTAATTATCTTAGTTTGACATTAGCCTTTGGGCTGACTAGTCTTTACTTACCAGAGGCTGTACATTAGAGAATGTAGATGCTACCCTGCTTTTGTCTTTGAAAGAAAATTACTCAAGATAATCATACCGACTTGTCAGGTTTCATGGGGGAGAATTTTAAGGTTACTATTACACGGCACTTAGGGGTCATCATGTGCTAAGCTAGTGTTTGGAAGAGCAAAGAAATAAGTACTTCCTAGCTGTGTTCTTCAGCTCAGGAAACCACAGGAGTGGGCCAGAGGAGACCTCAGAAATCAGATCAGATGTTGTGATGACGTGGGGAGGGACCCTGTGAATTTGAAACTGCATTCTAAAAAAGAAAATATGTCCTTTTTCCATGTATGCATGGTATGTCAAAATACATTCTACTGTCTGTCGTGTATAACTAAAAAGAGCAAATTTTAAAAAAAAAGAAAGAAAGAAAAGAAAATATATCCCCATTTAAACAATCCCTTTATACCCCATGACCCCAAGTGCTACAGGCTTCCTATAGACTGAGACTCAGAATCAGGACAGATTGAGGACTCAGAATCTGCATTTAAACAAGATCCCCTTTGAGGGTTGGACTGTCCAGCCCAGGATAGTCTGATGCTTCTCTCTTGTACTCTCTAGGTCTTCTCCTTCCCCTTTTCTCTCCTTCTGCTCTACCTCTCTGAAACAATCTAAGAGTCTTACTTTCCCTGATATACTTTGTTCATTCCATTCTTTTTTCTCTCTTGGATAAAAGCCAGTTATTTTTAATTTTCCCTCTGCCTTATATATTTATGTCACCATTCATATGCCCTTTCTGACCTATATCTAGCTCTAGACCCACCCACGTAATTCATTGTCATTAATTTATTCAACACGCCTGTGGTGTTTATTAATGCAAATTTTTACACATATCTGTTCTATCATGCCCATTTTTTTAAAAATCATGTTTCCTTGTGTTTGTTTGTTTGTTTTTAGACACAGGGGTCTCACTGTGTTGCTTAGGCTGGTCTCGAACTCCTTGGGCTCAAGCAATCCTCCTGCCTCAGCCTTCTGAGCATCGGGCTTACAGGTCATTTTTCTACCTTTTAAACTTTATGCACACACACAGACACATAGGAGAGTGACATTTTACCACTTAAAAAGTAGAGAAGTATATCCTATGATGTAAAAAGTGATAAGAGGAATATCTGGACCCAGTTTCAAGATGAGAATAAGTGAGGGGTGGAGGGATCTTTAGAGTTATGTGATCTGCCTGATGTAGTCATTTGTTCTATCCACAAAATACTGCTATCTGTATGTGTTTATCTAGTTCTCAAATTACTATTATTTTAAAATCAATTTTGACCTGAATGAACTCTTTGGGAGAGGTGTTTGTATCTCTGCTCACATAGAGTCATGTATCAAGAAAGTGAGTTTATGAGGCTGGGGTTGTAGCTCAGTGGTAGAGTGCTTGTCTAGCATGTGTGTGGCACTGGGTTGAACTCCTGGCACCACATAAAAGAATTAATAAATAATCAAATAAAATAAAGGTATTGTGTCCATCTACAACTAAAAAATTTTAAAAAATTAAAGAACAAAAAGAAAGTGAGTTTATCAAGGTCAGACAGCAAGTGGCTGTCCCAAGACTACAACCAGAAACTGGGCTTGCATCTTCATCCAGTGTGCTTCCTGTTAAATTGTCCTCTCTCCTGTCACATGCTTTCCGGCCTTCCCATGCATCTCTGTTTTCCAATGCCTGGTAAGAGCGAAAAGCTTCGTGGCATCAAATACAAGAATAAATACAGTTAAGTGACCGTAATACAAAGTCAATGTAATTGGGTGTGAGAAATCAGCAAGGAAATCTTATGGGCCTCCACACAAGGGTCCCGGCTGAGTTTAAATACTGGCTTGTTTATTGTGGAGCCAGGCTGGTTACTTTCAGAGCTTGAGAAAGTGGGAAGCCAACGGAGTATTTTACATACAGTGTTTGACAAGCGCCACTTAAAATGTTAGGTGCTATCATTGATTTTTTCCTTAACTCTTCCATTTGTCCTCTCTTCCCTCTCTGCTTCCCTTTAGTATGAGCCGCACCGCCTACACTGTGGGAGCTTTGCTTCTCCTGTTGGGGACCCTGATGCCGGCTGCAGAAGGAAAAAAGAAAGGGTCCCAAGGTGCCATTCCCCCGCCAGACAAGGCTCAGCACAATGACTCGGAGCAGACTCAGTCGCCCCAGCAGCCTGGCTCCAGGAACCGGGGGCGGGGCCAGGGGCGGGGCACTGCCATGCCGGGGGAGGAGGTGCTGGAGTCCAGCCAAGAGGCCCTCCACGTGACCGAGCGCAAATACCTAAAGCGAGACTGGTGCAAAACCCAGCCGCTTAAGCAAACCATCCACGAGGAGGGCTGCAACAGCCGCACTATCATCAATCGCTTCTGCTATGGCCAGTGCAACTCCTTCTACATCCCCAGGCACATCCGGAAGGAGGAAGGCTCCTTTCAGTCCTGCTCCTTCTGCAAGCCCAAGAAATTCACCAGCATGATGGTCACACTCAACTGCCCCGAACTACAGCCACCCACCAAGAAGAAGAGGGTCACACGTGTGAAGCAGTGTCGTTGCATATCCATCGATTTGGATTAAGTCACACACTCAGCCTGTCCTAGGGATGCAGCCCCAGGCAGGCCCAGAGCCACACCTAAGCAACCTGATTCTTACTTGGCTTAAATCTAGAGGCCAGAAGAAAAAGCGGCTGCCTCCCAACCAGAGCCTGCTTGTCCGTAGTTTGTGTGCATGAGTCTGCCTGGGTGTCTGTGGGTGTTTTCAGACATCAAAGGAAACAGTCTCTGATAGAGTTCACTTCCTACTATTATCTGCTTTAAACAGGGATGGTCAAAATGCCCACACCACCCCTGGCATCCACAGAGGCAGGGCTGTGGTCTGGATCTGCCTTTGCCTTCCATGTGCCCCCTGGGGACCAGGATCTCCCTTCAGAATGAATGTTAATGGAAGAGGCTACTCTGAGGGCAAGAGACTTATTTGTGTGTTGTGTTAGACTCAGAGACATTATTTTCAGCTTTCTTCCTCCCTTCTTTCTCTCTTCCACACTCCTTCCTTTCTTAGGTTCTCAGTGTCTATTTCAGTCTCATCCCATGTCTGCCAAGGCTTCTAAATTAATTTGATTGACCATGGATGTAAACGTTTTTTCATATTGTGAAGACCCACCAGATTCTGGGGAGGCTGGTGTGATCGATGACAATCAGGACAGGGCAGCGACCAAGAGAGCATTGAGGGTGAGGACCAGTCACGGCCAGCAGAATTCAGCAGGGAGATGTGCAGAGAACTGGAAGGCCGAGTCCAAACACAGCGAGGCCCTTGCTTCAGTGAAAGGGTTTCCTGGTATTTAAAAGAACCCAAGTGAACAGAGGAGAAATAAGATTGCCAAAATAACATTGACTTTGGCTGTCACTGGGATCTACCAAAACTAGCTGTAACCCAACACCAAACTTAAATATCGACCACCCCTGTTTTCAGAACCAAGTAATCAAGCTAAACCCAAATAGCCCCGGCTGTTTTGCCCCACAGGTGGACAATTGATGTAGTTTAGAACCTTCTGTGCAGGAATAGAAAAAAGCCCAAAACTTCCTAGGTTGAGGTACTAATATTTTTTTCTTGGTTATAATCACCTTTTCCTCAAATCATTGTTCCTACAAAATGCTCCCGAAAGCCACAACCCTGTATTAGAAACATTCCGCATCTGCTGAGTATACTTGACAGGAAAGGTCAGTCTAAGCTGAGAGTTTAGGGCCTGCTCCATTTTAGCTATAAACCTATCTGGGGTGGTTTTGTATTGCCTCTTGTTAGAAGACTGAACTAGAGAGAAGAGAGAGTAAGGAAATAAGCAGGATTGCCTCTGGCATGGTAATAGTTAGCTTTTAACACCTGGAGGAGAGGTGAGGGGTCTGACCTCCCCTTCTTCATATGTTCTCTGGCATGGTAATAGTTAGCTTTTAACAAGGACCCTTGGAGCTGTCCATCTGCTACCAGTGGGATCTGTGGGACACAGCAACCACTCTGTACCTACTGGAGGTGCTTTCCACTGAGGAAACTTGGGGCTGCTTGCAAAATGCCTATATAGACTTTTTCTAATGACCAAAGTGTAGGGTATGAGAACCTTACTGCACTTTGAATTTGGCTAAGCTATTCTCTTCAAGCCTGAAGTTCTATATATAAATGCCCCGGTTTTTTTTTTTTTGTTTTTTTTTTTTTTGCCTTTATCTTCTCAGCTTCTCTAGCCAAGTAAAGTGTCATTTGGAAAACAAACATCAGAGATTTGGGATTCAGTTGCCCATCAAGATTCCAGCATTCAAAGAACCATTGCAGTTAAAGACGCTGTTTTTATGTTGCTTTTGTTGTGGGTTAGTGCTCTCCCATCTACCAACAGGAGCCATGCCTTTAGACAAAAGGCATGAACACCCAAAATGTTGGGTCTAATTTTAAATATTTATAAATCACTACTGATGATTCTACATTAGGCAAATTCATGCAAACACATAGTCTATGCATTTCGTATACACTGTATTCTCCTGCCCTAAATCTTTGTATCATCCACATCCTCCAACAATAAAGCACAGCATGGATTTAATTAAGCACACAAATGCAAAGGCAGAATTTTGAGGGTGGGGTAAGGAAAAGAAAGGGGAAGAAGCTTTAAATGTAAAACCACACCAGAGAGGAAAAATGACATTCAGAACCAGCAAACATTGAATTTCTCTTGTTGTTTTAATTCTGCCACAAGCATGCAATTTTGTTAAAAAGAGATGACTTAAGTTGGCAGCAGCAATCTTCTTTTAGGAGCTTGTACCACAGTCTTGCATGTAAGTCAGATTTGGCGCAAGTAAAGAGAATTTCCTCAAAATTAACTTCACCAGAATAATCAGCAGCATAAATACTCTAGAAGCACAGCACTAGCCAAAGAGGAAAATGTCTGCTTTTCTTACTGTGCCTGTATTAAGATGAGCACAAGTATGGTGTGGCTTCCAACATTTATTGAAAACGCCATATCTGTATGGTGTGGCTTCCAACATTTATTGAAAACGCCATATCTGTTACTTATTTTATTGGAGTCACCAATGATGTAATGATATATATTTTTGCATTATTGTAGTAGGATTTTTCTATGGCAAGATAGTTGTGATCTTGATCTTACCTATCAAAAAAAAAATGCCAAACACCAAAGATGAATTTTATGATGTACACTTTATGCTTGGCATTTGAAGAGTAAATACACATCTTGTAAGTCTGTAAGTTGTTTTTTGTTACTGTCATTCTTCAAAGTTAAAAGTTGTATGAAAAAAATCTGGAGGAAAGGATAATTTCCACTGTGTGGAATGTGAATAGTTAAACAAAAAGTTATGGTTATTTAATGTAATTATTAATTCAGATCCTTTGGTCATCGTGATTTCAAGCTTGCTTTCTTTTTCTCCTTTATATGACTTCCTCTGAGTTAGGAGAAGAAGCTGGCACATTGTATGTTGATAGAGACTTGTCAGGGCAGAGAAAAATACCATCTTACGCGTATTAAGATGTGTTACATAGTCAAGACCTGAGCTCTTATTTTTTTAAATTGAATGGTCCTTAAAGGTTAACGTTTCTGAAGCAATATTAGGAAGGACTTTCAGTGTGATTTTGAGAGACTTAAGATGAGTGTGTACAAACATATAGTGGATAATGATGAGTAGTTCAGAGAGTCCTTTTAAAGAGGAAATTTAAAGTGAAAAGTTAGGGACAAAACATTTCTAAGTGACCAGTTGATGCTAAAGAGTGAAAGGGTGAAAGTAGTTCTGTTGATTTGTTATTACTCAAGATATTTAATATCACCTACATTATATATTGAGTCTGCTTTAATCATTGAAAAACAACAAAGAATTGTCTAGACTGTGATGGAACTACCTTGCTGTATATGAGGGTGAGAGGGGATTTGATAGTGTCATAAAAGCTATTTTGGCTTAAAGTTTTACGAATCTGTAACTAGAATTTAATTTTCTCCCCAATAATGTTCTATATAATGTTTGCCAAAGAGCAACCAATAAATTAAATCTCTACATTTTTGTGTGTGTTCATGCTTTAACTGGCAGAGTTCCTAGGGCAGAGGTGGGGCAGAGATTTACTTGTCATGGGAATGGATGTAGAAATGAGACACTGAGGTCTCTAGTGACCTTTTGGGGGCATTTACTCTTTCTCCTAGACTTTTCAGATCCCATTGGATTTCCTCAGACCATGCAGTTAGAGGCAAGGGAGAGTGGGTCTGTAGTCCAAACTACCAGCTTCYTGCCCAGAGCATAGCTAGGAAGCTGAGCTAGTGAGGGTGATGATGCAGCTTCATTGGAGTGGTGGAAGGGTTGCCTCACATGTATGATTACAGCTTTATTTCAGGGTGTTCTAGGAAAAAACAGCAGAAAGATCTTAGGATCCATAGGAGGATCTTTCTAATGATACGAGTGATTCAGTAAGACCATGAACTGCCTTTAAGATGATAAACTTCCTATGCTTGAAAATATTTTAAAGTATGCTATATATCATTTCAAAGTGAGTTATTGCCTGGGTATACAACTGAACTACTAGATTTCTGAGATCTCTTCCCACTTGGACATACAACATTATTCAGTATTAGTGCTCTGAAAATAACAAAAATCCCAGCAACTCTGTATGAAGTGCTTACCTATCACACTGTGCTGAGAGTGTAATTTGAATTRTTTCTCAATTCTCAGGATAGGTCAATGAAGTGGTTACCATTATTATCATTGTGAAGAAGCAGTGAATTCATATGATCTTACTGAAGCACCGCGGCCCTTAAACAGTATGCAAAATTGGAAGAATTTCAAATTTTATTGGTTTGTTCTTTTAAGAACCCAAACCGAACTTTAAAAACAGATTTTATGGTTGATCATTCACGTCTAATGGGTAAAGCCATTCTGGGATTGTAGTTGGCGTCATCAGGACCCCAAACTTGGCAGCAAGTAACAAGGGGACAGTCGTCTCAGAAAAGCCACACCAGGAGGTAACATCTAAATAAGGCTTAAAATAGAAGTGGAACTTGACAGAGAAGGGCATCCCAGGCTTAAAAATGGRAAAGCAAGCAGGCTTTTCAAGAATRTCAGCTCTTTTAGCAATCTGAAGAGGATTTATTCAACAAAAAAAGTGAAATATCTGTAAGAACAATATGCATTATGATCTTATAACTTACCCTGTTGGTGTCACCCCTCTCCAGCTCCACAGTGGATTTAAAAACCAACAGCCTACAAATACAATGAAAACTAGCATTCTGGCAGTCACTACTGGGACCAGGATGGGTTGGAGTTCTTTCAAAGCCTCCTTCCCAAAGAATTGTCACTATTTGACCTGTTTGGCAGCCCTGGGCCTCAGTTGTAAGGATATCTTTATTTGATCTGTCAAAAAGTTTCCCAGTGTGAAAAACTTGTTGAAACAATTAGAGGCAATAAATTATCTTTGGGTGCCTGAAGCAGTGGATAAAGAATTGGGGAAGGCAATAGCTAAGCAAAAAGTATAATGGGAGAATCCTGGGAATGAAATTTCTGTAGGGACTTTGTAAAGCTCCAACATGTTACCAGGAATCTATGGTTCTAGACCTGCATAAGACTGTGYATATGCTTTTTTT